CTTTCAGTTATTAATTGTGAAAATATTAAAATATCCAGTATTCTTACTTTCCCAGCTATTTTGTGACATGTTTGTGCTAAGATTACATTCAATCCTCATATGATGGCCAGTTTACTTGTTGCTTATGTAGGTATTTGACCTGAATTTATAGACTGTTTTACATAGGTAGTGACATAATTGTGATAAAATGACGATCAATGTTCAGTCTTCTTAAGCTAGACATGCATATTCATATCTCAGGAGGGTATTTGTTGTGAGGAGTTTAATGAAATATTTACATAATTATAATATGTCGTTTTATATCAAGAGAATGTAAGTAAAAATTGCCTTTCTTGCAAAATTCTCAGTTTTATTTACAATTACTCTACATGTATAAGAAGACTCAGTATTTAACATAAAAATTTGTATTCATTGCTTTGGTGGACATATGATTACTTTCAGTTTGAATGTTTGCATGATATCACTAATATTTTGGTGTTCATTCAGTTATATTGCATTTATAAGACGATTTGGTTGAAGTTAAATAAAGGTGCATATATTTATTGAATAATTTTTTGGTGAAAAATATTTAAAGGTTTGGAAAATGAAGAATAATTGAAATGAAATCTTTTAAGTAAAAAAATATATACAGTATATATTCACGATTTTGTATTTTTTTGTGCTTATCAACATTTTCCATAATTACCTTTATCTCTACCGGGACACTAATAAGAAATGTTTTGTGAAAGAACACTCAAAATGTTTCATAAATTGCAAATGGTACTCGTACAATTATCCCTCTAAAATCGAAGTTGATATATATAACGAGATATACATGTATACATGTGTAAAGAATATAGTTCTACTACATGTGATATTTGTATTACAGAGTGTCGACATTTACACCTTCCAGACCAAACTTTCCTTCCAGAATTGAGAGTAAGGATTCTAATGTATATCAAATCATAGATTTAGACTCAAGATAACCAAGATAATTATATAAGCACAGGAAGATATTACCACGCGAATTCAATTTCAAATTATGTGAGTACTATAAACCAGTCACGTGCTATACTATTTTATACCGCTATATAGACAGGCAGCCACAGCCGCCACCACCCAGTAATGAAGCAGAGTCAGAATCCGATGATGACTACGAAGCTTGGGACGAATTTGAGAATTTTGATGATGATTCAGGATCGGTAAACTTTTTTTAATTTCTGAGAAGTGTAATGTACACGTAAGTTAAAAGTTAAAAGGTTGACATGTCTTATACATAAAATCACAGTATTTTGTACATTTCGCTAAGAATTATATCATTAAAACAACGAACAGTGATAGATCTGAAAAAAAAATTAAAAAACTGTACAAAGTTTTAAACAGGACGTAGATATGGGCCTCCGGCAATTCCAAAGCCTGGCAATCAGTTGCTAAGGAGAGTAAGCATCAAGGAAACACCTTTGTTCGTGTGATGGTTATTTTTCTTTTAATAAAACTACAAATTATCAACGTAATGTCATTACAGGACGCAGATTACGAAAACGAGGATGAACAACAGTCATTAAAGAAACCAAATTCAAGAATTCCAGGTAAGACAACTTAAAATATTTTTCAAATTATTGATAGTTTGTAAATCAATCTCCCATTATTGTGGATTTTGTAAGGCGAACTTTACATCCAATTACATTACAATTTTAACTTTAAGAAAGTGTCGGTTCATTGGATCATCTGAATATGAAAGTATCCCACGAAAAAATGCCCATATGATGAAGTAAAATTTAGTTTGCCCACGAAAATTGATTCCCAACGATTACCCCAACGAATAATGTATTTCATGACGTTGAATACAGCCAAGGATTAAAGTTTAGTTTTATTGAAATTAAGTTTAAATTCCCGTTCGTACTGCTTTGCTTTGGTAACGTTTTAAACAGATAATAATATATATCTATTTCATATATTAAAGCAGTAACCAATCATATAAATTATTTTTTACAGAAATATCTTTTTAAAAAAATTAAATGATTTTGTCATAATTTTAATAGTTTTTTATGTTGTGATCAGTATTATTATCAAATGAGTGTACAACATTGTAATTCATATGAATACATGTTCATTCCTTTTTTAATGTTTAAGTTTTGCTTTAAGGAGAGCTTCTTCTCATGTTTCTTGTATTTAAAAATTAATGAAATTTCACAGAATCAAGAAGCCAATATAGCTAAGTGAAGATTTCAATTAGATTAAATTTGACCGTTTTATATTAGAGGCAAGGTCAGGTCAAGGTCCCAGAACATTAAGAACAAAAAATACTGTTGGCAATCATGCAATGCCTACATCTATTTCAAAAGAAATGTTTCTTTTTGCATAAAAAAGATATACCATATACATGTATATACAAATGATACAGAAAGTTACAACAAAAAAGGTCTGATAGTTTAAGAAGAGAGAAAAATAAAAACTTTTTACGTATTTTGGCTCAAAGCTGTACTTAGATTGGAAACTTTTAAAAGCCAACATAATTGTAGTTTGTTTTGAAAATCATTCTTTTTTGATATACATTGTATTTTAAAAATTTTGTTCCTTATTATTAACTTACACTTGAAAATTTCTTGAAGTCTTTTATTGTGTAAAAATTATACCTAAATTTTTTGTTCCATGATAATTTTCAGAGGTAGAAAAGAAGATATTTTCATATATCGCCATTCCCGCCACGATTGTGATAAGGAATGAAAAATATTATCTTTAAATTCTCTTACATTTAAATATATATAAGACATATCAGGAAATATACATGCTTTGAATTTTTCAATATTTCAAGGCAGAAACCAGACAAGAATCCCTCCTTAAACTGATTTGGATATATGTTATAAGATTTATTTTTTGTTTTACTTTCATAATTTGCAATTTATGCTTACTACTAACCTTTAACGCAACCGTTTGGGTATATAGACTGGATTAAAAGCATGAACACAGTTTTAAATGCATGTTTTATTCATTGTCATTGAAGTTTTATTTACAGTTTGTTGTTGATATGCCTATTTCTTAATTAAAAATGTTTTATATAACCATTTGGATTCAATATGGTATTTGGTAAAATTACTAAGCCAAACAGCAATTTTTTTATAATGATAAAACAAGAAGTAACCGGGTGATTTTATAAGTTGCATGCATATCGAACCACTTGATTTGCATGTACATGTAGTTTTCTTGTTTTGTTTTTTGATTATTCATATACATACATTAATGAAGTACCTTTTCTATATAAACTTAAGAAAAAAGTCAAGGAGGCTATTACGGTAAAAGAATTGTTTCCTATTTGAATGTATATAAAAACTTCATTAACATTTTAAGTAGGTCACAGAATGGTCTACATAACACGGGAATAACATTCGTAATTGTCTTGCGTTACTTAGTCATTCAATGTTTTCATTAATCTGGCGGTCATGAGAGCAAAACAATAAATTCCCCGCTATAAACAGGCCTTCATTTACTTTTCTATTCAGTGTAAATGGAATTATATTCATTTTTTAAACGTTGGTTTTTATTATTATTTTTTAAAGAAAACGAATTTGACTTAAATGGTGAAAAATATAATAAAATCGTAAATGTTAAGTTTTCCAGTTTTACTTAAAAAATACACTTTCACGCAACATAAACGTTTTCAACCCAACTTGTAAACATGAACAGTGATTTAGTTATACTGCTAGAGGGTAGCTAGCCTTGATAAGTATGTGTTTATAATTGCACCTAATATTATGGTAATATAGTGCAATTATAGGTTGATGAAGAATCAATGAAGCATGACACCTCTCACATACAAATCCATCCATCAAATACCGTATATGCCATCAAAATTCCGACCTTCATCCTCTTGTAAACACATTACGAGCATTTTGGACACGTTGAACTATTTTGACGTACATAGAAATGGAGAGTAAATGACTCAGAGTCATGTTAAGGGGGCTTTGATCAAAAAAATTATGCCGGTTTGAGTACATGCGGACTGAAAGGAGATTATTCGGAAAACTAGAGCCTATGTAGATGACTTTAGAGTCAGAATATTTGTGAGGTGAAATATGTAGATGAAATATATTGGATTATTATCATATTTGTGAGTGCTTTGCCATATTTCTTGTTGATCAATGGTAGCTGATTCAATGAGTACATCCTCTGTAATCAAGGATGACACTCTCGTTGAAATTAGAACGAAGGATTCAGCCAAGAAAGGCAGACTGAAAATGTTTGAAAGAAGGGGATTACGTAAAGCCGATCATCGGCGTAGTTCAAGTTTACCCCCCGAAAACCGTGTGAAAATGTTTTTCAAAGGAACTATGACACTCAGAGGAATATTTCGAAATCACTCCTCTGGACATTCTCCGTCTGAGAAAAGACCAACAAGAGTGTATTCTAGAAAAGGGATAAAAGTTTCTATATCTTCTCCTATTCTGGGTAAGTGGCAAAGGTGGTTTCACTTTATGGTTAGTGTCAGTGCATTCCTTTTGGGTATTTGTTGCTGGTATCGTATCTTGGACATGCTGTTCTCTCGCTTTATATGATGAATGGTATTGTCTCTTAATATATCTTTCTAGAATAATAAGAGGAAACGATGTTACAGTAGCTTAATTAGAAGAAAGAGAGATGTTCAAGACTCGGGTTATTGTATTTTTGGGGTGGGTGGGGGAGTGGGATGGGTATTAGATAAGTTTTTTTTGCATTTTGAAAACAGCAAAAACCAAAAATATAGCAGAGAGAGAGAATGCCTGACACGGTTTTTCATGCTACCGGGTACAAGTTGACGATACTGTCGTTTATGCGCCAAGACACAAATGTAATGTGTTGTAAATTTACACAGGCCACAAGTATTTTGCCCGAGGAGTAAACGGTACACATTAATTAGACTCATGTCTCTACAATCATTAAAATATGGTATCAATTACAAGATACTGAGATTAAGATTTAATATTACACACATATTTAGTTCATTAAAGAAAACGTTTTAGACATGCAACTAAACATCATACAAACACCTGAAATTGAATTGAATAATATCACATATATATATGTTGTTCTTTCAAGAAAACTTTGAGAATTAGAGCAACATCAAAACACCTGCTATTAAAATAAATTGAACACAAGAGGTATGTTATTCTTATATTAATTTTGTCAAGCACTAATCCCTTTAAACATTATTTTTTTGCAAGAACATTTTGATTAATAACTAATACAACTATATACTGGTTTTGATCATCATCATGATATACATTTACATAAGAGGAAAGTTTGAAGATCTGCATGTACACATATTAAAAAAAAACTTTATTAAGCATGTTTTGAAATATCTACTAACAACAAATTTGACATAAATTTGACATAAACACGTACTTAGAGTCCTTGTCTAAATAGTGGAACCAAGCGAACCCCAGGAGGACTATGCTAACTATAGCCCTGACCATAGTGACGAGGATAGTAGCAGGAATGGACACTCTATTACTGACTCCCTAAGGCACGCTCTAGAGCAGAGAAATAAAGTAAACCAAAGTCACCATAGACAAGGTACTAACTGAACCGTAGTACAAAGCTGAGTGGTATTAGGAGGCGTATGCCTAGTTCATTGCAAACTGATACAAAACATCTTAACATGGCTTTAACACAAGACATACTGTTATCTGGAAGCATCAACTTAAGAGGCATAGTATACAAGATATTTCCAGAACTTTAGCAAAACCTGTTGTGATATTTAAAAGCAGTGTTCAAAGTACTTTTTAAGTTTTATACAGGATATTAAACTGTAGCAAAAAAGTAATGAAATCTAGAGGCATGATACAAGTGCAGGGGATACAAGTACAGGGTACTTGTATTATGGCATCACATACAAGGTAGTGACTGCAATATATCAGAAAACACAGTTTTATATTAGAGGCGTCAAATGAAGATCCCTTGGTAAAGCAGATAATATACCATACAAAGATTAAGTGAACTCTGTTGCAAAATATAGAGACATGTATTGATATATCATACAAAAAACTGCTTAAACAAAGTGTGATGTCATCCCAAAACATAACAAATAAGCTTCACATAAAACCAGGAAGGATGGTGGAACTATTTAAACGCATTACACAGAAGATAATTTTTGAAATTTTAGATAAAACATTATAAGTTTTAAAAAGTCATCACTTACTTGGACAATTTTAAGACCTGTATCACAAAGTACTACAACATAGGAGACAGTACATATTAAGTCCTAGCTGCATGACAAAAGACAGACTTAAACTATTGTAAAAGAATAAAAGATGTATAAAAAATACGCAAGAAAACAAGCTTGTGGACAAGCATTTTTAGTTGTACAAAATACTAAATAATCACATTGATATCCGCATTAACTACCGGAATGTGCAATCTTTTCTCTTTCATGAAACAATTGAAAAAAAAATCTTAAAAATGGAAAATGTTACATAGCTTATGATTAAAAAATTACAAACTTAAAAAACACAAGTAAGAAGTTTGAAAAAAAAGAATCTTAAAACTGGAAAATGTTACAATATATTGCTTTTGATTACAACCTGATACCCATAGATCAAATGAATAAGATAAAGAATATGAGAAAGTTCAAGTATACGTGCATAAGCTTTTATTTTCGTTTGCAAATCACTTGTATTATCTTTAAATATTGCTTTTATATACCAGTATTTCATTCTATCCATATCAAAATAAAGCAACATCAAATTATTGATTCAAATATGAAATATTTACGACAGAAACCCAAATCTGCACACAGTCAACCAAAATATCTCAAAGGCAAACGTACACTGCTTCATTTCTAACAGCACTTCAGCTCAAAACATGCAATTCACCACAAAGTACTAACTACTGGGTAAACAGGATACCAACTGTCACCATTTTTAAAAGTTATAAGAACTGATAATGCACATAGCATCGAGAAGATACCGCAAGGAAGTTATTTTGATTCAACATTGAGAGCCGATATGCATTGTAGATTTTTATTTACTGTCCATCTACTAAGTGTTCATTTGTGCATCGCAAATAACGTGTGTAGATACGTAAAATGATGAAAGAGTCTGGCTATTGTCACTTTGATATAAGTAAGTCTTGGACTGAATAATATTCACATTAAAACAATGTTTTCAAAACCCTATGTTTTATTTACATGTACATGTAGTCGAGCCAACAGATGGTGTCATTTATAAGTTTTCACTATACTTACAGTTGGGTCTGATAATAAAAGGTTATTACGTTGATTATAATTATATTCCATTTTTCTTTCCAGAAAAACCCCCAGAGCCTGAAGAACCTCCACCGAGACCTGCTCGACCTGGAAGGGGAGGTAACAAATTTGAAAGTGTAGATCTGTAATTAAAAGAGATATATTTATTTGCCTTCTCCCTACAGACTGCCAAAAACTCCCCTTTGTAACCTAGGAAACTATTTATTCATTCTAAAGATTTTTACTCAAAAATGGTTGATTTAACCTGATATTTTTAAACATTTTCAAAAATCCTCCTTCCACCCCATCCCCCAATATGTAAGCTTGAATCGGGAGACGGCAAGCATACATTTTTTTTAAATATGACCTTACCTATAAACTAGTTTTAAAATTACCTAATTTTGAATTGTACAAATTTTAGTTGACCGTCCACCACCGCAAATCCCCCAGCCCCCGAGACCTGGTGGGAGGAACCGCAGAGAACAGGCCCCTCCCCCGGAGCCAGAGGAGCAGGTAATAATGACACCGTGAAAAATCAGTGTTAAAAATCACAACTAACATATCAGCTTTAGTAGTGGAGCAGGTAATAATGAACCGTGAAAATCAATGTTAAGATCATAACAAACATATCAGCCATAACAGAGGAGCAGGTAATAATGACTCCGTGAAAAATCAATGTAAAAATTATATATACTGTAGACGTACTTTTTTCCACGGGGTCATAATTCCGCGGAATCTCAATTTCTGTTTAATCCGCGGGTAGAAAATTACGCGGATTTCTTAGACTGTCACTAAATGCCTTACATTTATATTGAGTACGCTTGGACAAATTTCCGCGGAAAATTTGTGACCGCGTACACAGCGTAAATTAATACCACGTGGAAAAAAGTACTTCTACAGTACCCTCATATCATTGTTAACAGAGGAGCAGGTAATGATGCAGCGTGAAAATCAGTGTAAAAATCATAACTATGCCCTATAATTCTCGTATCACCGTTACACATGTAACAGAGGAGCAGGTAATAATAACACCGTGAAAATCTGTGTAAAAAATTATAACGAACATATCAACATTACTACAGGAGCAGGTAACGATGAAACCGTGAAAAATCTGTGTAAAAATTATATATATCCTCATATCAACGCTAACAGTCTTTATAAAGAGTAGCCTTCACAATATCGGCGAGTAGTTCACTAAACCCTCAATAACATCACCATTGACAACCTTTTTATATATTACGAATTACTTTTACTCTATTGGTCACTACATTGCCACTGTATCATTGTAAATAATGTCATGATAAGTTATAGTCCTCACACCATTAGTCAGTTAAAACGCATTTTATCACATAATAGTCTTCTTATCAAATACATGATACATTTACACTGTATTTCTAACACTGTACAATCTGTACACATTACTCTATCAACTTTGAATGGTGTACTGATTTTAATTAAATAATATTCTGTTCACCTAGTCGTAGTATTGCATGTATTTTGTTTACTTATTAATTATTAAATCATTGGATGACGAATAAAAAGACTTAAAGCACGATAACTGTTGCTTTAATGAGTTGCATCTTAACGATTGCGATTGTGGTGCTTACCTCTATATTTGTCTTCATTATATTGCTGTATGAAATATATGGAGATAGCGATCAGTATTGAAGCTCAAAAGTCCATCAAACATTAAAAAAAATAGGAGCAGAGCAAACACGGACCTCCAAAACATCAGAGGTGGGATCAGGTGCCATTGGAGGAGTGAGCATCCCTTCCGATCGGTCACACCCATTTAATGGACTTTTGGGCTCGAAAACTGTTCTTTATCTCCATATATAATTTACATATGATTTACTTATATTATTTTCTTGTTTAAATGAGTGTGTGACTGGGCTCAATCCTGGATAAGAAAAATATTAATTATCATAAGTATCGAACTAAGATATTCAAGCTTTGCTTCTAGTACTTTGATGCAGAGTAACCTGTTAAAGAAATTAAGTAAATCTATTTTGTCTTTTCTGTATTCACGAGTGTATCAAATTATAAATTGCCGTTTTATTGGCTGCTTTTCTGGTATCTAAATTATATAATACTGTGTTTTTACAGCCTGCTTATATAGAAACGGATGACCCGTTACTCAATCAGGTTTGATGGCTGTTCAGGACTTTCTGCTTATTACTCTTTTCTATCGAAGCTTTTACCTCACGTATAACACTTTTCTTCTTCCGTAATATTCACGATGTTGTTACGAGTACCTGTATCGGTTACCGTAGTGTTTTTGTAGAAAACCATTTGTTCACCATAACGTTTACATATCCCTCTTTGCATGTATTTTTAAAAATACCTCACCAATAAGCTTAACGATGTAGCTTTTAAACCTTGAGCCCTTTACAATGTAATAATTTTTATCATTCTATATCAACCCCCAAGAAAGAGGTAGTATGTCATGTTCATAAAATAATTTTTTTTTATCTTCAAAAGTTTCTTTGAAAAATTAAAGGCAATATACTTTACTTGCTTGTAAATTCGTTAGAGAGCATTGGCTAGATTTTCTCTACCTTCGGGTGTTGTTTATACTCACATCTCAGAGTGTATTCAAGCAACGGTCACTGTGGTTATCATGATATTTCGTAGATTTTACGAAATTACGCAATATAAATAGCTTGCTATTGTTAAAAAGTATATTATTTCTGGAAATTTAAATATAAGTTGATCGATCTCGAATCTTTGGTCTTCTCTTTTCAATATTGATTGAAACTTAATAATAATTGCTTCAAACTAGAATTGCTTGAATTTGATATTTACAAATAAGCTTCATATCATATGTTTATTTATGTTGATGTGAGCGTTTAGTTATCTCTGCATTTCATTCACGTCATATGTTGATTTGCTGCAACTTTGTAGTACCTTTTAATATCAAATTAGCAAAAAATTCTAAGATGAAGTTGATATGTGTATATTGTTTGACATCAGTCACAATACTGAGATTGTTTGATATAATTATAGCTTGTAATTCTGTACCATATGTGCACAATTAAAATTTCAAAGCATAGCCATAACATTCTTAAAATATTATAAATATTCTTGATAGCCTTTATATTAGATTAAAAATATCACTTTGGTTCCTATATGTGTATACTTGTAATATATTTATTATTTCATACAACTTTAATATTATTAATCAATTTTTGCAGTGTTTTTCAATATTTATTCTTTATTGTTATGTTTTAAAATTTTCCAGGAATACTGTACGATTCAATTTCGGCCAAGTCATCAATAACGCAAAAGAATAAAAGAAATATGCTTTTAGAAATAAACGGTTATTACGAGTAAAAAGTATTTGATGAAAATCAGACAGCCGTTTGTACACAGTCTATACCTATAATAAGAACGTGGAAACATATAATGTCTGTTATGAAATTAATTGATAAATAAAGATACATTCAACATTCTCAATTATTTTAATGAAAAATCAAACATTTCTTTGAACAAATCTTATGAATCCAGTACACTTGTACATTGTATATTTTTGTTTGACTATTATTAAAATTCTTAAACATTATAAAAGATTAAGTTCTTAAACATTGAATAAGAAATTATTCCCTCTAAATTTAAAGCCGGAATACGAGGTACCAGAGGAGATGTCTTCTCCTGCCCCGAAGCTTCCACCATCCCGTCCTCCCATGAAGCCCCCTGTACCGGAAATTGATGATCAGGTGAGTTGCAGAAAGAATGTAAGGCATTGAAATTAGCCCTTTCTCTGACCCTATTGAATTCATCCTTTATTTTTTCATTATCTCAAACGATTTTTCCTTTAGTGCTTTTTAAATATACTTTAGTTAAAAAAAAAACCCATTCAAACTTTATAAGATTATAAGATCAAGATGAGGTAATCAGATTCCAATATGTTGATTTTGTAAATGCGAAGAAAAAAAAACCGAATGGAGTTTTAAGTGAAGAAAATTATTTGTTAAGCATATACACCCTTTTCCCTACGACACTCTATATCATAAAAGTTCACTTTTTAAAATCAAAAATTTCCGAAATGTACATGTATGATGAACATTATTATATACAACTTAAAATTTACTTCTATTGAAATTGATACCAGAAATTATTAACATTAAATTGTAATTATCAGAACGAAATTGAAAAGAAATGTTTCGTATTCACACTATTGACAGCGGTTAAACTCAAAGTTTGTTATTAAAAGTTTTGTCAGTCCCTCCGTCAACAACCAATTCATTCACAGAACGAGCTTGATTTTTCGGGGTTGGGTATATGTTTGAGTTTATGATTAAATTGAAACCGCTGACAAAATTGGCTTTCTGGCCTAGTATTTTAGGGATAAAAAAATCAAAATCAGGAACGTTTTATTTGACAATTCTTTTCTAATAGTAAGGACATTATTTGTTTATTGTTAGTAATAATAGTTCTAGTATTCTTAGTTTTAATTTGTATTTCAGCCTACTTACGAAGATCCCGATGAAACAGATAATCCACCAGCACCGCCCCCTGGCAGGGGTGGGAGGCGGCCTCCTCCTAAACCTGCTCAGCCCCCACCCCCTGAGCCTGACTTCCCAGAGGTATACAAAGCTAGGCTATAACAGTAAATTAACATTCTGCCGATCCGAGGAGTATTTACATCTCCAACATTAATGAAAGCAATTAAATGTTCAACCACTACATTTTCAATACTATTAAATACTTGTCAACTTTTATTCGTGTGCAAAAAATATTCGCAAGTTTTGCGCCCTAATTGATTTGAAACTTACGAATCGCGAATGAAAGATGACACGAATAATAGTTTTAAGGTGATACATGTATTCCTTATTCAGGATGTTTATGAGGATCCAGATAATAAACCTGACGTAGCCCCTGCTCCAATACCTCAAAGAACAAAGGTATAAATTATGTAGAATGTCTTGAATCATAAATATTGAATGCTCCAAATGGTAATTGCTCATTTTGAAACAAAAGATGTTCAAGTCTATATTATTTATATATGACATTGGGCAAATATATTTTTTTTTGGGGGGGGGTTATACATGTGTTTAGCTAAAGAAAATGTAGACAATAAAATGGTATATTAAACTTAGATATTTACCATTTTATATCTTTTTTAGCAGTTTAGAATGCCACCTATTCCCAATAACCAGAAGAATTCTCCAAACTTAGCCAGAACAATATCGGAGCCTGATGGACCAGCCCCACCCCCTCCTCGTGGTGGCCATGCAAAACATGTTAAGCGAACGCCACCGCCCGTCCCAACAGAAACTCACAACAGTGATGACTCCAGTTCTGTAAGAGGATTTTTGGATTTGGTTATGTATACCATTTTAATCCCTTCATGTTTCATTTTACATATATCATCTTTTGTATAGAATTGGAGACCTACAAAAAAGGTAAAATTTAATGTATATCCAAAGCAGCATTATTTAAGACGTAAAATTTCAGACTGAATGCAATAATGGTAACAAATTAATTGGATTTTTTTACATAGTTCTGCATACAGCTACTAAAATGGCAGTTTGAATAAATCAAAGATTCTATTCATAGAAGAAGGAAAGTCAGGCTATTGCAGGCTTTGCTTTCCTTCAGATAAAAAATGTAGGTCTTTTGGCTCTGTGAGTCTTAGGATAATGTTGTTTTGGTAGTCGGTATTTAGCATGTTGATACCCGTGACAAGCATCCCTTTCAACATAAAACAGAATACTAGTACCTGACAGCATGTAGTTTGCCATAGAATGTGTCATAGATTCAAATTCCTACTTTGAATCAATAATTTATAACAAGGCAAAACACTATTTGTCCGTTTTAACGTGCTTTTGAAGGAGATTGGAAGCATTGCGAACTGTTCTGAATGTTTGATACCACATGCTTTTGATTTTGAATATTGTTGGGGTTGGGAATAGTCAATCACGTAAATGTTACATATCAGACACTTGTCGGAAACGAAATAGTTCACAGATTTAATGTTTGTAGGTATAGGTATATTTGCTCAGGTTGCTTTTGCTTTTGTCAATACCTTATTATTGGAGCTTTGTCTTTGATAATGGTTTATGTAAAATCGTTTTGTACTTGTTCATTGCTTTGATAGTTGAAAGAAAAATTATAAAATGTACAGAAAGTATACAAGTTAGGCCTTGTTTATGTTTTTGTGCTTTATGTTTTGATCACTCGTTTTTGGAATTCAAATAACATAAGAACAATGTGCATGTAGATAGACTTTAAATCCCAGAGAACATGTAAGTGCATGTAAGCAAGGAATATATTTCTGCATTTTTGGTACTCATAACGGTATGAAAACATTTTAGAAATATAACATATCATTTCTTACTACCGCTTCCATCACTTTCATTACTTAGACGAATCACCTCTTACATATTAATATGAAAATATGTAAAAAGTTGCTGGAGGTATTACATGTATGTTTTTGACCCGTCCTTTAGTCAGTCAGTCCTGTATTTTTGTCAGCGCAACTCCTCATAAACCACTGCACAGAATTTTGTCAACTTTACAGATAGTTAGGAACACAATGTGTAGATGTGCATTTTAGCAGGAAATTCCGATTCCTTTATTTTTTCTGGAATTTCGGCACTTTTCAACTGAGATTTTTGGCTATACCTTTAATATAGAGATGAACAGTTGGTCTGCGCAACTCCTCATAAACCGCTGCACAGAATTTTGTCAGACTTTGCAGATATTTAGGACGCAATATGTAAATTTGCATTTTACCAGGAAATTTTTATTTCTTAATTTTTCTGGGAATTTCGGCACTTTTCAACTGAGATTGGCCATATCTTGAATATAGAGATGAACAGATTGTCAGCGCAACTCCTCATAAATCGCTGCATAGAATTTAGTCAAACTTTGCAGATATTTAGGACACAATGTGTAGATGTGCATATTAGCAGGAAATTCCGATTCCTTTATTTTTTCTGGAATTTCGGCAATTTTCAACTGAGATTTTTGGCTATACCTTAAATATAGAGATGAGCAGTTGCTCTGCGCATCTCCTCATAAACCGCTGCACAGAATTTTGTCAGACTTTGCAGATATTTAGGACGCAATATGTAAATTTGCGTTTTACCAGGAAATTTTTATTTCTTAATTTTTCTGGGAATTTCGGCACTTTTCAACTGAGATTTTTTGGCCATATCTTGAATATAGAGATGAACAGATTGTCAGCGCAACTCCTCATAAATCGCTGCATAGAATTTAGTCAAACTTTGCAGATATTTAGGACACAATGTATAGATGTGTATATTTTCAGAAAATTCCAATTCCTTTATTTTTTCCGGGATTTTCAGCACTTTCCAACTTAGCCATACCTTGAATAAAGATATAAACAGTTTGGCAGCGTAACTCCTCTTTAACCGCTGCACAGAATTTGGTCAAACATTGCAGATATTTAGTACACAGTGTGTAGATGTGCATATTACCAGGAAATTCATATTCCTTCATTTTCTGAGAATTTCGGCACTTTTCAACTGAGATTTTTGGCTATATCTTGAATATAGAGATGAACAGATTGTCAGAGCAATTCCTCATAAACCGCTGCACAGAATTTGGTCAAACTTTGCGGACATGTAAGTATGTAGGTGTGCTTCAGGAAATTCCGATTCCTTTCTTTTTTTCGGGATTTTCGGCACTTTGAATTTTTGGGGAGCGTAGGGTATGTGAGCTTGCTCACTTTTTCTTTCATTTTGCTACAGCGGCTAGGTGGTCACATCTTTGGGTTTAACTTTAACAAAGGGTTTACATTCTCCTTTACTAATTCCGTCAAGCTGCTAAATTTCGACTGAATACGTGTTTTGTGAGCCTGGAATACTAAACTAGTCGAGGCCCTTAAGGTCGATAGGATTTCAAATTTTCACAAGAGTATTCGAAAGAATGATCTTTTTTTTTTACCAAGGAAACATTCAACATATTGTATATTTCAACGATTGTTTGCAGCGAGAAGTATCCGCGAGTATAAGACGTTCGAGAAACTTGCGGAATTTTTTTGTAGGAAGAAAACAATTGATGTACAGTATTTACTACAAGAGTATTTGAGCACTGAACTTTTTGATAGAGATTGGGACCTAAAAAATTCATTTTTAATTCACCTCGAAGAGATGAGCTTATGCTATACCCTCGGCGTAGTTTTTCGACATCAGCATCGGCGTCCCAGTTAGAGTTTGAAGAGCAGGTCTATTCCTATGTGCCTATAAGCCATACTTGGACCAAACTTTATGGAAGATACCTCTAGGGATGGACACTACCACACTTAGCTTGCCTTGGATGCTGGATCTGGCCTAAATGATCAGTTTAAATTTTTTGGAACAGGTCCATTCCTAAGGAACTATAAGCCCTATTTGGACCAATTTAGGAAGGATGATGCATCTATGAATGAACGCTGCCAGACTTGCTTCAGATGCTGGATCTTGCCTTTATTTTTCTAGCCATATTTTAACCAATGTAGCATGGATGATGTTTCTAGTGATGTACACTTCTAGAATTGTTTTGGATTTAATTTCATTTGCCATATGAATATCCAGGCTAATGTATTTGGAGTAGCTCTATAATTTCACGGCCTGTTATGATTAAATTTGCAGATGGTGCATCTAGGAATGGGCACCTCCATACGTGCTTTGGATGTTTGATTTAATTTAAATTTCCTTGATTAGTACACAGGTTAAATGATTTTGAGCAGGTTAATTTCCAAGTAACTATAAGTTCTACTAAAACCAACTTTGCAACGGTTTTAACTTTAGATGTACATTAACTAGAAAAAAAATATGTTGATATACTTTTAGGTAGCTTTCGTGGAGATGAGCTTCGTATTCTTTGATTAATTATGTTTTAATATTTGAGTGTTAAGGGTAGATGACATTTTGATCCAAAGGACTCTTTGATTCTTCTTCACTGTCTGAAATGCATTGTTTTACAATCTATGAATAATGAAAGCACTCAAAAGTTTATTTCGAGCTAATTAAAACTGATTTTTTGCACAGGATTATGAAAAACCTGAAACTTCTCTTCCAAAAGCAAATAAAACCCGGAACGCGCCACGTCATCAGGCAAAACCACCGGAAGATGGTAAGTCCTTTCTCTGTATGAGACAAAAAATAATACTCCATATTAAATTATATCGTAAAATCAGTATTTTGTTATTGATTCATGTAAATGATTTGTCTATATTTCATAAAAAAATAATTTTTTTGCTTAAATCTTTTGTATGAAACAGAAATATTTATTAGCCTGAGCATATTACATTGCAATATTATAAATAAATGTATGTTATTTATTTAAGTCATTTTCTTATAATTGAATAGTTTGATGATAAATGGCTTGCTTTTCTGCTGGATGTAATACATGTTCTTCGAAATTCTACTCTTTCCAATCCTTTTGTTATGCATGCTCTTTTACATGGTACCTAAACAAAGAGAAAAGGGATAGTAGAAATATATTCTGATACAAACCTGGATATAAACATTTACAGATGTGTAATTTTACCCTTGTATAGCGTCAGTAAGACTATATCAGCTTTTGTTATGTGCCTTATTACACTGTATTTGTAATTGGTAAATTTTATTTGTTTATGAATTTCAAACTTTTGTATTGTGCCTTGCAAAGCAGTATTGATTCACAATCCATTCTGTTTTTAATTTCATTTTATTTGTTTTCTCTGTGGTGATGGCAGATTTTTTTGCATATTTTTATTTGCTTTTATATTTCAATTTGCATTTATACTTGTATGTCACTTACTTGAAATATGAATTGATCGAAAATTTATGTTTAACTTGAATAATCACCTTATCTTCCTACAGACTACATGGCGATGGCTGACAAGGTACGTTATGAAGAATACCTCCATTATATGTCTTATGTTTACCAAATTGAGTTTTTAATAACAATATTTGTGCCATTGCTAATCTTCAAAATACTCCTATATCAAAGAGCTTGTAATACAATTTATATCCATGACATGAAGAAAATATATTAAAACGATTATGAATTATCTCATTTTGAAGCACTGTGAAAAATGTTTTACATGTACCTTGTGGAAAATTTTTTAATTTATAAAAGCATTATTAAAATTTGTGTTCAGCTTGCTACATTCGATAAGGAAGTTTATGAATTTATGTTATTAACTTATAAATTGCGAGCAATTCATTTTTGTATAATTAAACATGACTGTCTGTTTGAATATACTTGTATTTATAACCTTAAATCTTGAAAAATTCTCGCTTTGGAAGGAAACCAATTGAATAGATATATTTCGAAAATAAAATGTTGTGAAGATTTGGTGATCTGCAGTGTCCATACTTGTACTTGAAACCAAAATAAAACATTTTAAAAAAAGATTAATCTGTGTATAAAGTTATTCCTAATTATTTTTTGTCTCATTTACATTTATAATGTTTTTTTCTGAAAGGCTCAGGAAAGTGATGATGAAGAAGATTACGAAAAACCCGATCCAGGTAAAGAAAATTACATTTTTACTATTTAATTACGAAGTTTAAATAACATTTTATTCTTAAAATAAAACAAAATTTTGAAAATAGGTTAATCTTCATATATATATTTATATATATATATATATATATATATATATATATATATATATATATATATATATATATATATATATATATAACGCATTTCAAACATACAGTATATGTTGTGAAGATGTACGTGAAAATTAAGCTAAAATTTTCCTTCGCGTAAGTTCTTGATACGTTGAGTTTTTACCGACATCATTAAAAACATGGAGACGTTAGATTTTGATTGAATCTTCAATTTTCTTTCTTCTGCAGCAGAGAGGCCACCAATTGAAAGGTTACCGCCAGCACCAAGAGGTATTCAACTGCACAGGAAAAACAATGCTTTATGTTATCCTAGAAACGCTTTTTGTGCATCAATACTGCTTGTTAAAGGCACTTAAATAATACATAAATTAAATAGGCAAATTCGAAAAAAAATATGGCAATAAAAAGAGCATGTTTGTTTGTTGTTAAGATTTATTTGTAAGACAACATTTATGTGTTACGTGAAGATATGTTTGATGACCAAGAGGGATTTGCATGAAATATGTAATTATTTGATCATGTATGGCTTTAAAGAATTATGTTGTTTGATATGGGTTGCTTCTGTGTAATCAATGTTAGAAATGTACCTGATAAACTAACTGAATTGTATTTCTTTAATTAATGAAATTTTCAGAAACTAAAGGTGGATTAAAAGCGAAAAAGGTTCCTGTATTTCCACCTCAGACAACTGGTAATGAATGATAAATGTTTTTAAATTAAATCTTTTATTCTTTTAAAATGTAAAAACTGTACTCTCGTATTGCATATTAATCGAAATACATCTTTTAACAAAAATGTATGTTGTCTGTACACTTCAGTTTTAATTGCATCTCAACTGCTAATAAAAGTTATTTTTTTTTATTTTCTTTTCAAGAAAGCATTGATATGAGTTTGCATAAATAGATTATAATTTTTGTGTTTAAAATATGCACAATACTGATACGTTATGTTTTTCTCACTGTATGTAAAATGGCATGTATATTACGTTGTATATGAATTTGTGCATGCGTGCATCTGCTTAAGACACCATGGATATTTGTAGAATCTGGCAAAAAGCTTCCAGCAGGAGCAGTTCCTGTAATTGGTTATAGACCTGACTTGGCTGGTGTGTACAATAATAGCTTTGTTATATGGCGTTCTTTAAATTTATCACAATGCTTTTTGTATGCATGTACATTTTAATTTAGATCAGTTCACCTGAAAAATACTAATATAGAAATTAACTTCATTCAATAAGTGCCTATATATTGCATACTCTATTTACAAAATTAATGTTATAACACATGCACAGGGAAATTGTTCCATTGTAGTTTTGTACTCTTTTCAGTGGTAAGACAGAGTTCAGCAGAAACAACATTATTTATTTTTTATTATATTTTATGCTAACTCTGTATACAGTAATTCTGAATTAAACACTTCTTACAGCTGACTCACTAAACACAAAGCACTCATCAAGAGGTATGAGTCTAATTTAAAATTTTTCTGCTTTTTTAACTACTTTAATTACTAGCTACAGTTTCGTTTTAAAGAGTATATGAGCATATATTAAACCTTTCTTAAAAACTTGATGAGTGTGTATATCGATTTATATTATAATGTAATACATTTTAATGTCATGTAAATATATAGCTGCATGTATATTTTCAAAGTAAAGAAAATTATTAAATTGACAATCACTTCTCAAAAAATAATTAATCATGAAAAAGGGTAAGACGTCGGATAATTTTAGATTAACAATTTACAGATGAGAGTACCCCTCCTCCTGTGCCTACGTCACATGCCCGTCACAGGGGCTCCCAAGGTAATTACTTTGAATGTAAATAACTAAACCTATCCATGCAGAACGGTCATAGCATCACTCTACTTAAATATCTGACTACTTATATGAATGTAATTCTTCTCCTTGCAAATCAAATTGGTGTTTTAAAATATCCTTTTAACGTAGCAGTTAACATGCCGCTGTTCATTTATTGCTTTAATTTGATTTTGATGATTATTTTTATCAGACGAAAACACGCCGCCCCCTGTGCCAACATCAAAGACCCCACACAAATCCACTCCAAGTAAGAGAATATATTGTTCATTATAGAACAATATATTATATTCAAGATATTAATCTTAGAATGAGTATTAAATGAGTTCTCGGTCAAATTCAACTGCATACTCTTTGAGCTTATAAAATATGATTACCTGTTTGTGTTTCATCTGTTTATAACTTTATCGATATGCATGTACATGCACATATTTATGAAACTCACAGTATAAGTTCTAGCCAATTTGCACACGAGTTTTACGTTATTTTTACACATTATAAATTTCATAGAAAAGTTAAGAATCACAGTATTATGTATAATGTATGATACCTGCCCTGTCGATCCTATCACTGCATGTGTCTCAACAATGTTACTCTTAAGCTTGAAATCACGAAAACTCAGAATCTTCATTATTATACCCCCCGCTTGAAAAGTGGGAGGGTATATGGTAATCGGTATTTCCGTCCGTCTGTTTCTGTTCTCCTTTTTTGTCTGTTCAAATATTTGGATGCATGTATATATGTGAGCATGATTTTCCTGTAGTCAACGAGGGCAGGTCATTACCTCCAACTCCTAAAGATCATAGAGGGACAAACGGTGTACCCAGTAGCACAAACAAACCGAAGGGGAGAGGTGAGGGATATCGTAATATTCTATAAGGTCCTCTTCTTGCACTGAAGTATTTTCTGTTTCCCAAACAGCATGTCTCATTTTATGTTCTGAATTATGTGCATGATACATAACATTGCAAGTAAATGTCCAGGCACGTTTCAAAATATTACAAAATGTAGAGTACGAGTGTTGTTGTTTTTTTTATCACAATCTATAAAAGCCTTTTTCAGAACATTTATGAAAAATTTCCTGATGTGTTACCCAGTAATGCATGTTGTAAATTACATTAAATGTATTTAAGATTAAAAACTTAACAGACCCGTTGAATTTGCAACAACTCTTGCTATTCCCTGCTTATAGTAAATGTCGAATTTTCTCCTTAGATTTAAGAATTTATAGTCTGGTCCTGATTTTTAAAAAGAAGGCTAGAAATAACTTCTAACGGCAAATGATTATTATTTGGTCCAGCATAGTCTTTTAACCTATTTCGAGTATGCTAAATCCGAAAAAATATGCTGGCCTTCATGAAAATGGCGTTAAAGAGGTCAAAATGGCGATTCAAAATGGCGGACATACAATTTTTCTAATTTTCTCTTAATGTCGTTCAAAATGGAGAAGTAATGAGTGAATATGTAACTGAGTGTAATAAAACTATAGAAATTATAATAGCATGCTAACATTATTAGTTAAACTCAGAAAATTTAGACGTTTCTAAACTTAATTCGAATTTTCTCTGATTTTTTGTCTATTGTTTCTATATTCTTCTTTGTTCAGGATTTTATATTTGCAAATAACCATACACTGCAGATTTGTATTTTTTCCTCTGCATCTCACTATTCTACAACTGAATGATAGTGCAGCTGTAAGTTAAAAGTCAAAATGGCGGTTCAAAATGGCGTATTCTCTTTTTTTTCTTCAAATTATTTAATTCTTAATGTCGTTTACATAGGAGAAAGGATTTGTGAATATATTACTGAGTGTAGTACAACTATGTAAAACAACAATAGAACACTAATTTGATCACTTTAAATCGGAAAATTTAGTCGTTAAATTTGAAATGTGTTAATTTGCTCAAAATGGCAATTCAAATGATGTCTTATACACTCGAATTTCGTAAAATACCCAAACTGCTTAATTCTGGTTCGTTTTGCAGAAAATGAATTACAGTTTTTTTTTATTCATGAAATAATGTTCAAATATGCAATGAAAGCTGGAGGATATTTTTGTTAATGACTTAGGATTTTCATAACATGGATTTTTGTTTAATTAGTTCTATTATTAAGATAGATTTTTGACGACAATTCCGAAGATATTTTACCTTTTACCTGTCTCACCATGCTTCTTCATATAAAAAGTTAGTAATATCATACAGTAAGTGCTGTTTTGAGGACAATATGAAAATTAAGCTACCCCAAGAGCAGTATCCCCCGAGCTTTAAGGCGAGTGAACATTCAGTTGTTGGGAATTCTTGATCTATTTTTAGTCCAGTGTAGAAAAAAATAAATGTTTACGTTCATGCGGAAGGTCTAGTGCAACATAACTTAGTATGGTTTTTAAAATGATTGACCACGACCAATTATAGGGCTAGTAATTGTTACATCATATAAATCTGAATATAAGTATTATAATATCCAAATATAAATATATATTAAGAATTTTCAGTATAATATACGTAAACCATAAATTTTCTTGATTGTCCAGCTCTAATTCTGTGTCTCCACATTTGCATTTTGATATTCTCAGTCAAAAATTCAACTGCATTCTCAAATATTTCATGCTGTGAACGGATAATTTTGTATTGAACAGTGTATATAAATTTAGAAATTTTGAAATTTAAAAATCTTAAAGAAGAAAATGTTTGTGTTCAATCCCCCCTCGATTCTTGATAAAACCTTACACTATCCTAACAAAGAATTGTGGATCAAGTTGCCTTGTAAAGTTCTTGAAGTGTTCAAGAAAGTTTTGTTGTCAAGAGAAGTGTTGACTAGATCGAAATCAGGAATGGCTTAGGCCTATTGGTACGAAAGCTTGTAAGTGAAAGGAATCACGAGGAATCTGCAGGCGCTCTTAAATTACATAATTTTACAATTTTTCTCACCAAAATATGCACACAATGTGATTTCAGATGATCAAGTTTGAGAATTTTCTTGCAAATAGAATGACCTTATAGAGTAATCGGTATGTCCGTCCGTCCGTTTGTTACGCTTTGGGGTACCCATATCTTATCCGCAACTCCTCTCATACCACTGAATGAAATTTGATGAAACTTCACAGAATCTTTATTACATATTGCCATTGTGACCTCCTATTTTACTTTTTGATCCGACATATATTTTGGGTTTCCCATAGCAAAACATGGACACTGTCATTATATTCATATGGGAGACCGGGGTATCATTTAGTGAGGTTATTGCTCACAGTACATCTAGTTCATTTTGCATATGGATTTGGATAACAAAATAGACATTTAACATTTGAACATAAATGTGTTGTTCCTTGAGTGTTGGTTGATTGCTTGTATATTGTTTCACGCCGAGTCGGCAATTTTTAAACCATGTTTCAGCGAACTATCAGTTTAAATAATCGTTTTTGAAGGATTTTGGTTTCTGTGGTGGCCCCCAGTGAGCTTACTCTTTTTCGAACTCCAGAGAAACGATCTTTTACATTCCAAGGGGGTTGTCATCCTGGACACGGGGCACCATTTTATTTGAGTGTTGAAAATACCAAAATTCCGAAGACAGACTGAAACATATACCAAATAAAGCTGGAATAGAAGATGTTAGGGGATAATACTAAGTTTTTATAAGTGCTGAAAAGCTAGAAAAAAGTGTTCGATGAAATCGGACAAGAATTTCTTCAGTTATATTCGATGGTGTGCCGAGGGATGTTGAAGTAGAAGTGCGAGTTTATAATGACAGGATTCGGGAGTGATTTTAGGTTGACGGGGGCTCAAAGGCTTTGGAACACGTACGGTCAAATACGAAGGGGGAAATTTGGAAACTCTGAAGTCGAGTTTGTTTTAACTATTTCCAGAAAAAAATGAATCTTTTCAGTTATTTTTTGTTCATATTTTACGGACTAATCAATATACTATTTATACTATATATATAAAAAACAAACTGTAATTTATTTTCTGCAAAACGAACCAGAATTAAGCAGTTTCTACGAAATTCGAGTGTATCAGACGTCATTTTGAATCGCCATTTTGAGCTAATTAACACATTTCATATTTAAACGACTAAATTTTCCGATTTAAAGTGGTCAAATTAGTGTTCTGTTGGCATTTTACATAGTTGTACTACGCTCAGTAAGATATTCACAAATCCTTTCTCCTATGTAAACGACATTAAGAAATAATTTTAAATAAAGATGAATGTCCGCCATTTTGAATCACCATTTTGACTTTTAACTTACAGCTGCGCTATCATTCAGTTGTAGAATAGTGAAATGCAGAGGAAAAAATACAAATCTGCAGTGTATTGATATTTGCAAATGTAAAATCCTGAACAAAGCGGAATATAGAACAATAAACAAAAAATCAGAGAAAATTCGAACTAAGTGTAGAAACGACTACATTTTCTGAGTTAAACTAATCAAGTTAGCATTCTATTATCATTTTTATACTTGTATTACACTCAGTGAGGTATTCACACATTATTTCTCCTTTTTATACGATATTAAGAGAAAATTAGAAAAATTGGATTCCGCCATTTTGAATCGCCATTTTGACCTCTTTAACGCCATTTTCATGAAGGCCAGCGTATTTTTTCGGATTCAGCATACTCGAAATAGGTTAAAAAACTATGCTGGACCAAATAATAATTATTTGCCGTTAGAAGTATTTTTTTCTGTAAATCGGACCAGACTATTATAGAGAATGGTTTTTACTAAAGAAAAGATCACTTCTTATCAGTAGACAAAGCTTTGATTTGTATTGTTTTTTGTAGCCTCACCTTTATTGAACTATTATTTGACGTCATTGTAGGTTCTGTAATTGATCGAAAGCCACCTCCCATTCCTGGCGAGGAGGTAGGACTCTTTTTAAAGTCGAGTTGTCTTCCCTGAATTGGAATGGACATTATATGTATTACAGTCCATTTG